TAGACAGAATAAAGGTGAATAAAGCACCTGGACCGGATGGTATACACCCACGGGTCCTTAAATAATTGAGCTCTGTCATTTCAAAGCCATTGTTTCTCATTTTTAGGGACTCTTTAATGACTGGCATAGTACCACTGGATTGGTGTAAGGCCCATGTGGTGCCAATATTTAAAAAGGGGTCAAAATCTTTACCAATCAATTATAGACCTGTTAATTTAACTTCTATAGTTGGGATGATACTGGAGAGTTTAATAAAAGACCACATAGATGAGTTCTTGCTGGAAAAAAAATATTTTAAGCAACATACAGCATGGCTTCATGAAAGGAGGTAAGCAAAACCTTGGACAGAGGGGTGGCGGTGGACGTGGTATACTTGGGTTTTACAAAAGCGTTTGACACAATTCCCCACACATGGCTAATGTGGAAGGTAAAGTCTACGGGCTTGGAAAAATCTGTATGTAAATGGGTAGAAAACTGGCTAAAAGATCGTATTCAGAGTAGTGGTTAATGATTCATACTCTGAATGGTCTAGGGTTGTCAGTGGTGTACCCCAAGGTTCAGTGTTGGGACCCTTACTTTTTAATATATTTATAAATGATATAGGGTCTGGGATAAAAATACCATTTCAGTCTTTGCAGATGACACCAAGCTGTGCAGTGGAATAACGTCCTTAACGGATGTCTCCAACTTACAAGCCGACCTCAATGCACTGTTTAACTATGTGGCAAATGAGGTTTAATGTTGATAAATGTAAGGTGATGCACTTGGGGACTAAGAATATGCATGCATCATATATACTGGGGGGGGGGGTACAACTGGGGGAATCAATGGTGGAGAAGGATCTGGGAGTTCTGATAGATCACAAGCTTAATAATGGAATGCAATGCCAAACTGCAGCTTCTAAAGCAAGCAAAATCCTCTCTTGTATTAAAAGAGGTATAGACTCCAGAGAGAGAGATATCATGTTACCCCTGTACAGATCATTAGTAACACCTCATCTGGAATATGCAGTTCAGTTTTGGGCACCAATTCACTAAAAGAACATTGGGGAACTGGAGAAAGTGCAGAGAAGGGCAACCAAACTGATAAGAGGCATGGAGGAGCTCAGCTATGAGGAAAGGTTAGAGGAACTGAATTTATTCTCTCTTGAGAAGAGGAGATTAAGGGGGGATATGATCAACATGTATAAATACATCAGTGGTTCATATAGTGAACTCGGTGTAGAGCTATTCACTCTGAGGTCATCACAGAGGACAAGGGGGCACTCTTTCGTCTGGAGGAAAAGAGATTTAATCTCCAAACACAAAATGTTTCTTCACAGTAAGAGCTGTGAAAATGTAGAATAGACTCCCTCAAGAGTTGGTTCTGGCCAGCTCAGTGGATTGCTTTAAAAAAGGCCCGGATTCTCTCTTCGGTACACAGAATATAACTGGTTACTAACATGTATAGGTATAGTTGATCCAGGGAATATCAGATTGCCTCTCGGGGGATTAGGAAGGAATTTGTTTCCCCTGCAGGAGAAAATTGGATCATGCTTTGCTGGGTTTTTTTGCCTTCCTCTGGATCAACTGTGGGTATAGGATTATAACTTTTTTTTTTTTTTTAATGGTTGAACTGGATGTACTTTTGTCTGTTTTTCAGCCAGACTAACTATGTAACAATAATTGTGTTGATAGAGGAATCGAGCAATTTTCTTTTCTTCAACACGTGGTTGAAAATAGCATAATCTAAGACCAAGCTAAGGGGTGCCAATAAAAACAAACTGCGCTGCTGTGAATTGTATTGAATAAGGTACCTGCTATTGCTGTAGACCATTTTCACCCCTCCAGATACATGCCTCAAAAAACTCCCATAGCTAGCATTCCCCCATCCTGCCCTGTTGCTAGAATGTTGCTATGATGCTTCAGCTGACTCTCCAGATATTCATGTTCTCCTCCATCATCACAAGGACCCGCTCTCTCTCTCTCTCATCCGTTGCCTTGGCTCTGAGCTCAGCATCATGGCTACCGTCACGCATGTACGGTGCTTGAATTTAATACAGGGCATACTGTTTTGGGAGAATCAACAGCAGGAGCATTGGCTGAAATGTTTCAGCAACACCCTAGCAACAGTGAAGGACAGTGGAACATTGGCTATGGAAATGTTTTGGGTTAGACTTCTGGAGGGGGTGAAAATGGACTACAGCAAAAGCAGGTACATTATTCAACACTGTTCATAGAAAAGCAGTTTGTTTCTATCTACTCCTTAATTCCATAGGCTGTGTTTTTGCAAAGATTGTCCTGAAAAAGAAAAACAAGGTATAATTCATCTGGATGTACTACGTAGTTGCGGCGATATGTACAATTTTATTAACAAATGCCAAAGCTGCAAAACTGGGTCCACATGTTAAAATTGTTGTAAACCTCAGACTTGAACTATGAACAAAGCATATCCCTCTATAGTGTGTCTCAGTTAAGAGGTAGAGGTAGGTGTGTGTGTGTCCCCTACCCTTTTTTTTCTGAACTCTCAGACAAACACTATAAATTCAGCACTTTCAACAGACGTAGAGAAGGGAAAACGACATATAAACATGTACAACTTATTTAGGAGGATTTGTTTCATCTCTGTGTATCACCTGAGACCAGTCACTTCACTGAGTATATTGTGAAGGTTTGCAACCATTTTAGGATTTGTTTTACCCTCAACCATAAAGGGTTTCATACAGTACAGCTTACTAGTCTTTAGAAGTTGTGGCTACATTTCTTTTTTTCATTAACCGCTTCCCGTGGCCACGGATGCCAATCACCGGGTCCTGGATGGTGAATACTCGCTGGCGCCCAGTGATTGCAGAGGATCTCAGACGAAGAGAAGAACTGTTTGTAAACAATACAATTCTCCTCCCTGTCAGCTCGTGCACACTGCTTTGCAAGGCTGTGCACAGCACAGCCACACAAAGCAGCATGCTTACAGTGAAGCACAAACACATGGCCCCATAGTAAAAAACACACCCAGCATGCACACAGTTAACCCTTTGATTGCCCCTCATGTTAACCCCTTCCTGCACAGTGCCTTTAGTACAGAGTCAGTGGTTTTTTTTTTTTTGCACTGTTCACTGTATTGGTGTCACTGGGGATGTCAGTGACACCAAGTCAGTTCCCCTCAGTGTCAGAATACCCGCCCGCAGTCCCACTAAACGACGCTAATCTCCGCCATTACAAGTAAAAATAAAATAAAAAAATTCCACTATATATAACGCCATTTGTAAACGCTATAACTTTCATGTAAACCAATTCATTTACACATATTGGGATTTTTTTTTTTTTTTTTTTTTTTTTAGCAAAGACGTAGCAGAATACATTTTGACCTAAATTCATGACGAAATTTGATTTTTTTTATTTTTTTTACTTGACATGTTTAATAGCAAAAAGTCAAATATATTGTTTTTTTCTTAAAATTGTCAGTCTTTTTTTTTTTTTTATAGCGTAAAAAATAAAAAACCACACAAGGCGACCAAATACCACTGAAAGAAAGCTCAATTCATGGGAAAAAAAAGGACGTAAATTTCATTTGGGTGCAGCGTTGCATGACCGTGCAATTGTCAGTTAAAGTAACGCAGCACAGTAACGCAAAAAATGGCCTGGTCAGGAAAGGGGGTAAGTGGTTAAATTTTTACCTGGTGATCCTGCTGATAACACACGCTCTCTCGTAGGGTGACAATAGTTACTGACTATACTGTGTATATGGATAAATACTCCAGGACAGTGAGTGTTTTGGGACTACAGGACGCCTTACTCTCTCCTTTTCCATAACACTAGAGAGGTGTTCTGTAGTTCATAGTCAGTAGAGGTAGAAAACTCGGGAAGTTATCAGGTCACTAGATTTCTGGCAGGCAACATTTTTTTTTTTTTTCACTTATCAAACAGATATAACAAAACTAAACGAGAACAAAAAAGAAAAGTTAATGGCTAGGCTTTAAAGTCCGTGTTATCCCTTTTTGACAGTAAAAAAAACAATTGCATTAAAGTAAACAGAGTGAACTTTCTAATTTTAGCATATCTGCTGTGTTTACTTGGTAACATGAGTAATTCACAAATTGCTTTCACCTGTTACCTAGAATTGAATGTATCTGAAACCATTAGGAAATATTTCCTTTTATCATTAATCTTTTGAATTCCTATATTGTCCAATTACTCATAATGGTAGAATGAACATTGTGTCCTTCACAGTGGTCTGATCTGTTTCAGGCACTACTGACAGTCTGCAGGCATTCATTCACGGTCATGATGACTGATTCATAGATGGTTTATCTATTCAGAAGGAGCAGCAGTTCAATAAGTTATGGGTATGCAGACATTGTAAGCTCCACTGCCGCCTGAAAGGGGCAGATAAGAGGCACCTAACCTGTTTGGCCATGATGTAACCTTTTTTTAACCACTAGCCTACCGGGCACTTGTACCTCCTTCCTGCCCAGGCCAGTTTTCAGCTTTCAGCGTTGTCACACTTTGAATGACAATTGCACTGTCATGCGACACTGTACCCATAAGAAATTTTTATCTTTTTTTTTTTTTTTTTTTTAACAGATAGAGCTTTCTTTTGCTGGTATTTAATAAAGTCTGGATTTTTTTATTTTTTTGCTAAACAAATCAAAATCAACTGAAATTTTGAAAAATAACCCCACGATTTTTCTTAGTTTTTGTTAAAAAAAAAAATTGTAAATAAGTGATTTTTCTCCTTCACTGATGTGTGCTAATGAGGCTGCAGTGATGGGCAATGAAATGCATCACTGATGGGCACTGAAAGGCAGCACTCATATGGCACTGATAGGCGGCACTGATAGGCGCCACTGACTGGCACTGTTAGGTGGCACTGACTGGTATTGATAGGTGGCACTGAAAGGCAGCTCAGATGGGTACTGATATGTGGCATGACATCCCCTATTGTACAGCGCTGAGCAAACCCTTTGGCGCTATATAAACTCGTAGTAAATAATAATAATAATAATGTGCACTGGTAGGCACTGATATGTGGCATTGATGAGGCTTTAATGGGCACTGGCAGGTGGCATTGATGAGCACTGACAGCTGGCATTGATGGGCACTGACAGGTGGCACTGCTGGGGCTACACTGATCATCAGGGCACACTGATCATCAGTGTACATGTCCCCTCCGAGGAATGCCGATTACCGGCTCTCCTCTCGAGCTGTCAGCGTGACAGCTCATGAGGAGAGAAATGCTGATAACTGGCATTTCCCTATTTACATGCGATCAGCTGTGATTGGACACAGCTGATCATATGACCGAGCCAACATCTTCAGCTCTTTCCGTTGATCGGTGATCCGCTGAATCTGAGGTACAAAGCACACCACCGATCAATGCACTGCATGCTCCCAGAGCTGCGCACGCGTGGTTAGAGTGGGAGGACGTCATATGACGTCCTCCCAGAACGAGAGAACCGCCTTGCGTCCGTCATTACCTTATATGGCAGGCAGGAGGCGGTTAAAGTGGTTGTAAAGGCTCACGGTTGTTTACCTTCATGCAAACCTTCTATGAGCAGCAGCCCCCCCTAATACAAACCCCCTCTTGATCCAGCAATGTGCACTGGAGTCTCGACTATCCTGGGACTCCCTCTCCTCATTGGCTGTGACTGTAGCAGGAGCCATTGGCTCTCACTGCTGTCAATCACAGCCAGTAAATCAATAAAAAGAGAAGGGGTGGGCCGAGCCAAGGCTTCGTGTGTGAGTGGACACATGAAGCAGAGGGTGCCCCCATAGCAAGCTGCTTGCTGTGGGGGCCCCCGACAGGAGGGGGGGACCCGAGAAGAGAAGGCTCCAGGCTGCTCTGTGCAAAATCACTGCCCACAGCAGGTAAGTATAGACTTGTTTGTTATTTTTAGGGAAAAAAAAATTAAGCCTTTAGTATCGCTTTAAGCTTACGAAGAATATTTCATCTTAAAGAGAAAAGAAGGATCTCTAGTAGTTTTTATAGAACTAGTGTGTCTTGAAATAAGAAGTACTTGCTCTATGCAGCCTTCTTTGCCATCAGACCTGTCACCATGCCATGGTACGACATTGGCACATTTATTAAAGAACTTGTACAATTTACTGACTAGGAGGAAATAAAAATAATTAGAAAAAACAGCTATTCAAGGGTTAAGTGAATAGAGGATTCTACTCGCTGCTTCCTGACAATGGAAGATGAGAGCATGATCGTCCTTTTCTGAACTCGGCAATTAAAGCAAATTCTGTTTCAATGTGTATAAGTAGCTGTGTGGTCCAGTTATTCATCTGTCAGTTTCAGATCATGTAAGCCAGCATAATATATACAATTCAATATTCTGCTTTATAAACAAATGCAATGTCAATGAGTTAAGCCCCTGCCACTATACCAGGTCTGCATTCTGCCTGGATTAAAGATTTGAGAGTTTGAACCACATAGAGATCAGGTTCAGGCTCAACAATGCGATGATTTTTTCCAAGAAATACTGGATCATTTTCTCTAAATTTAACCAATGGAAAAATATTTTTTCATCCTGGCTTGATTGTTAGTCTACAGCTATAAGCAGCTAATGTCAGCATGACCTGTCCTACAGCAATGTGGGAAGATGTAAAAACACAGACCTGCTTTTCTGTAAAAAGGTTTTGTTAAACTAAAGATGTATTAAATAATTGGAAATCTTCAACCCTAAGTACTCAGGAAGTTGAAAGCTGGGTTAAAGAGTCATTGATTAACAAAAAGATGACAGTAAAACTATTCAAGAGAATTACCAACTTTGATGAAATTTGGCCTCTCCAGGTCAAGCATTTTGTCCTACTTACCTTTGAATCTGGGTCAGTTACAGAAGGGTCTATATCACACCATACTATCCTGTCACCTAAAATCTTCATCACTTTAATACCAATATTGTGTTTCTAATAATTACTGACCGTCTTAAAGCTTTTTGTATCAGCTGTTTGTATCTCACCATGTTATAACCCTGATTTACATTTGACCTTGCATTATTTATTTATCCTATAACATTATAAAACACCCAAAAATGTACATAAAAAAAGAAAACATAGTCTGTGTTAACACTACATGTGATTGAACAAATACAACACAGCAAACAACATCAACAAGCCCCCAGAACAAAAATGGGTCAAGAAGGTTTGACATACTCAGACAGAAGCTTGAAGCACCTTACAACTTAAACTGACCCACTTGGTAGAAGTTAAGGCCCCTTTCACACAAATGTTCAGATCAGATCTGTCTGTCTATCTTTCTGGGGAACCCGGCCGGAACCTCCACTGTCATCTATGGTGCTGCAGATGTACACCGGCCGACATCCAATCCAATCCGCTCTGCTAAAAACAGACGAATGGGGATCCATTCCCTTTCTCTACAGCAGATCGGATGGATGTCGGTTGTAAATGGATAGGCGGTCCATTTACATCTGACTGCCCATAGAGGAGAACGGGCTGCGTCCGTGTCCGCTCTGCATAAATGAAGTGATCATGGACCTGTCATCTGCTTGTTCATATCCCCTGCTCAGTAAACTGATTGCTGCCAAAATCCGCTCCGTGTAAAAGGGGCTTATGAACCTGTGAACAGAAACCCAAGTGAAAACTTTGGAAATCTGAAATACCTGATGCTGAAAAGACCCTGAAGTACTAACAGCGCTCGCAAAGAGTGCCTTAACAGGAAAGGGAGGACCTGTATCCTTCAAACTATAGGCTTTAACAATAGCTTGTCTGATCCTCCTACCAACAGCAGAGTGAGTTGCACACCCTTGTGGAAGACATCAGAAAGCAAAAAGAGGGAATCTGGTTTTCCAAAGGAAGCAGTAGCTAGTAAACTCTCAAAGTCCAGACAGAGCAGGACCTTAGAATGCCAGGACAATATTCTGATTTAGGTGGAAAGCAGATACCACCCTGAGGAGATCGGCCTCCAAACAACTTTGTTCCTGCACAATACTAATAAAGATTCCTAACAGGATAAAGCCACTAATTCAGAGATTCTTCTTACAAATGCGCTAGCAACATAACAGGCCTCCTTACAGGTAAGATTAGGGAAGATCCCTAATTATTTTGAAGAATGGCTTCTGCAAAGCTGAAAGAACCAGATTAGACAGGAGGATAGATGTGACCTATGCCTTGAACAAAGGCCTTAATTAGAGAATGAGGCCAGATGTCTCTGAAACAGAATGTCCAAGGTCGAGATTCGTCATTCCTTGACTGTACTCAAGGCCAAATGCTGGTCCAGACTGAAATGTAGAAAAGACAATATGAAAGTTCCTCACCTCGCACCAATGAAAACAGGTATTTTGGTGAAATAGTGAAATAGTAGAAAGTCAACTTCCACGTATTTAATAGGGTAACAATGACAGAATCCGAAAGGCCCCCGTACCTTGCAATCATGACTTCAGAAGCCATGCTGTTAAAGCAAGCGACTGACAAGTAGAATGGAACACTGGCCAATGGGACAAGAAGTCCAAAAGGTCCAGAAGCACCAATAGAGTGTCTGCCAGGAGTCTGAACATGTCTGAGTACAATGCCCTCCTAGGCCAATTTGATGCAATGAGACTCATCGGAATGCTGTCCATCTTGTTCCAGCGAAGTAGGCGAGGGAGAGCCTGGAGTGGCAGAAAGGCATAGATCACTTTGAACTGATCCCACAGGGTTACCGCAACGTTCTCCTAGGAAGGCCCAAGGGTACCTGTATCTGGCAACATACCTGTCGAGGTTGTTTAGGAATTTGAATGGCAGAAAATCCATCTCCCGCATCTCCAATTTGGGACAAAGATTGTGGGATCTCTGGATTGAGGGTCCATTCCTTCCCCGATTCAAATGCTGATGAATGAGAAAGTCTGCCTTTCAAATTTTACAGGCCTGGCAAGTGGATGGCAGGAAATGGTTGAAATGCACAGTTCTGTCCAAGAGAAGAGCAAGCCCCTCCCCCGCTTTTTTTTTTTTTTTAAAGCGGCACAACTTCTGTTACCTCGTTGATACAGGCACAGCCGTGGTGTGGTCTGAATGGATTTTTGTCAGATATCCTAACAGAAGACTGAATCACCCATCAAGAATGTTGACGGTAAGGAAAGTTCTCTAATGACCATGTCCCCTGCAATGACAGGGTGTTGAGGACTCCAACCCAGCCCAACAAGCTGGCTTCTGTCATGAGAACCTTCTATGATTGGGGAGGAAAGGACTTCCCTAACTCCAGCGCTGGGTTGAAAATCCACCATGTTAAGGAAAGTCTGGCCCTGTGGGTTAGATGCATGGGGCAGTCGAATGACTAAGTCTGTTTGTCCCCCACTGCCAGAATGTTGAGTTGTAATGGTCTGGAGTGAAACTGGGTGAGGGGCATAGCTTCGAAGGGGGAAACCATGACCCTCAATACTTTCATGCAGACATGAACCATGAACTTCTTTTGAGACTAGAGGGTCCAGGATTGAGGGTGAAGGGACAAAAGTTTGTCCCATGGAAGGAAGATCTTGGATAGGGCTGTATCCGCCAGGGACTAGGAAGACCAAGTTCTTCAGTAGAAGATCCACCACATGGATCCCCTGAGTGCACACCAGAGCCAAAACTGGAGCAAGTACCTTGGTGAAAACCTGAAGGGCTGTTGAAAGGCAGGAAATGAGTAATTCTTGGCTCTGGCAAGAATCTTTAGATCTTCAATATTCAACTTTGGGACCGTAAAGAGGTTCAAGATAAAAAAAAAAAACAACATAAAAACATTTGACTTCTGGTATGGGGTGATGAGCCCTTAAGACAAAAGTTGGTGAACAACAGTCAAGCAGCCTGCTCATCATCATTGGCAGAAGGGTGAAACTCTAATTTCAGGCCCTGAGAAATAATATTCTAGATTCATATTCTAGAGCCAATAGGAGGGCTCGTTATTAAAGATCCAGAGATTTTTCATATTGGAATCAGAGATTGGAAGGACTAATGTTATATTTAACTTTTTTCACATTGTATATGTGTATGGTAAATACGTTTTTTTGCATATTGGGGTATTAAGATATTTACACTTTCAAGGGTGAAAGTTAGACCTTTTATGCTAGAGGGTTTAATATATATATATATATATATATATATATATAATTTTTTCTGATTTTCATTTTGGATACCGTAGTTCTATATATAAAATATTCTAGATTCATGCTTCCAAGATTTATTGGGATCA